AGGACTTTCCTATATCTTTTTTTTTTTAACCCTCACATTTATGCTTCTCTTCATACAGGTAAAGTGGGGTGCGAGAGGATGGCCATGTCCCAGGTCTTGGTCAAGTTCCTGGGATGCTCCCCATCAAGTGAGGGTCCTTGGCTTCTTGCAGGAAAGAATTCAAGAGGAAGCCGTAGTAGCATGAAGGTAGATTTATTCAGAAAGATACATACTCCATAGACAGAGTGTAGGCCATCTCAGAAGGCCAGAGAGGCCACAAGGCATGGGGGTGTTTAGATTAAGGTAAAAGTAGATACACACTCCATAGACAGACTGCAGGCAGTCTCGGAAGGTAAGAGAGAGGCCACAGAGTGGGGATGATTCATTTTTATGGACTCAATAACTTTGTATACTAACAAGTGCAAGCATTATTTCAACTACTTTGGGAATGGGGCTGGGATCCTTAGGAACTGGGCCATCATCCACTTTCTGACCTCTGATGGTCAGCCTTGTAACTGTCATGGCACCTGTGGGAGTACCATTTAGCATGCTATTGTATTACAAGCTCAAGTTCTACTGGGAGTGGAATTTTCTGCCATCTTGGTGCTAATTGGTATGTCATTCTTTTAATGGTTGTGCCCTGCCCCCTTCCCTCCTGTCTCACTCTTGAGTAAGAATGTTTTCATTATTTCATCAATTAATGGCGTAGTTTTGTTTTGTTTTGTTTTTTTTAAATCCAAATGCAAGTCTTTCCATTTATCTCTATTACAACTCAGCTCTTATCATTCCTACCCACACAGTTCTGGATAACGCAATAAACTGTGACAAATGCTTCAGGATTACTAAGAAAATGCAACATATTTCTTATACATCCCAGCTTGGCGATTTCTAGAAATTATCTGTACCACAACCATAATAGGCATTTAATAACTGTGCTAAAAATTAAAAAGTACTTTTTTCACCTAAACTTCCTCATTATACTGATGAGGAAATGGAAGCTTAGAAAATTGTTAAATGACTTCCTTGGTGAAAACTGTGATTCAAACCTGGGTCAGCCAGACTCTCAAGCTTAAGTTTATAAACCCTGAGCCATGAATTTTCAACCTTGACTTTGCATCAAAACCACCTAAGAACTTTAAAAAAAGTAAATGCCAGGGCCCCATCTCACATGTACTGCTGCAAGTGTGGGTTGGGGAATGGCAGTAAAAAACTACTGCTGCCATGTTATAACTACAGTGGAAGGACAGAACTTGTGGCACACCACCCCATACTTAACAATTAGCTGCTAATTTTTACTTCTTGATATGGCCATACAATCAATTTTGAATCTAAATGTGCTATTATCCAACCCAACCCACATGGCCTATTTCTCCATATTGTGTGAAAGAGTGTCTTGAAAGATTTGGTCACATGTCTTGGAATTGTCTTTTATTGTTATCAAAGAAAAGAGGAAACTTTCTGAAATGTTTGCCCTGGGAGAAGATTTCTAGCTTTGTCACTACCCGAGATCACATAAAGAGCTAAAAAATATTCTAAACAGAGTAAAAAGAGCTAAACATTCCAAGTTAGTACTGGCTTAAAATCATATCTTGGTGAGAATGTGAAGGAAAAGCCGGGCTGGGCTAACAACATAACTCACAAATCCAAGTATCTGAGTACTGATCTGAGTTCTGCTGGACTAACTTGTAAATCTGCGTTAATTAGTGTTGGTTT